CTATGATTAGGATATTGATGTAAATTATATTAGGCCTTATCTCTTTAGTTAGTTACTTCTCCTTCACGTTATCAATTCTTGTATAAATACTTTGTGATAGTAAACATAATGGACATACACTTTTACCGATCTTACAACGGCCAACGTGTTGATTGATGACGGCGGGTTCAATCCTACGGAAAGCACAATCGTCGCAAGAAGTACCGCAATCATGGCCATGACAACTCTAGTGTTTTGGAGATACGCCTTCTCATCCCAAACTTGCGGGTGGTTGTTCTCGGTTGCGCCACTAGCAGCCAGCATGTCAAGGCTAATCACACTGTGTCTATGCTCTTCGATGATTTCGTTTGTCCGGATGTGCGTGGTAATGCTTGGATCATCTCCAGCTCTAATCTCACTATCTCTTTGCTCTTCGATGATTTCGTTTGTCCGGATGTTCGTGGTAATGCTTGGATCATCTCCAACTCCACTGCCTCTATGCTCTTCGGTTACTTGGGTAGTGCCTCCTGTTGGTGCATTTGTAACTAGCCTATACATATATAGAGTATAAAATTCAATCAGGAGAACTAAATCATAAAAGAAATATCACCATAATATAAAATCATTTCATTACCCTTTTATACACTCTGCTGCACGTGTGGAGTCTTCTAGATTGTTGAAGAAGACTACAAAGCCCTGACTTGGCAACAAAAATCTCGGCTTCAGTTCTTCAAAACGACCAACTTGATTAAAGCTCTCCACCATACAGAAACCACAATGATCAGCATGTGTGTTCACTAAACAAAAAAAAAATATATTTCAAAACACACTAAATTACTCATTTACACAAATACACTTACGAGAAAATAAAGATATTCCTGATATCGAAGCTACGTATAAATATAATATTTGACAGTGTTCATAAACTAAAGAAATAACATATTACATTGAAAAAAAAAACACTTGAACTTTTCTGCATCACTTGATACACGAACATATCATAATTGGTATATATACGTATATTTAGGTAACTATGCATAGAGGTCATCAACAAATGTAATCGAACAACACTTGCAGCTGACATTTTTTTGCGGATAAAATGTTAATCAGTGATTAATCCTAAATACAAGATTCTAAGAAAAATGCGATAGTTTCAAATATTTAGATAGGATGATGATGTCCATATTATATTACAAGTAAGCCAAGGCAAACTTGAGACGGAAGTGTGAGCAGACTAACATCCGGTGATAAATAGCACTAAACTTATTTCAGAAATCAAGTTGATGGACATGGTATTTAACGTATTATTAACAAGAATATTAACCTGGCCAGGCTGGCTGAAGAATTATCTGAAACCTTGGCTCGATTGTTCTCTTGACAATAAACAGTAACCCATCTAGGATTTGCGATGACTGCAAAAAAAAAAAAAGAGAGCAAGAATTCAAGAAAATATGACCAATTAGTAGATAAAAAATAAGGAATCGTTAAATTTTAAAAACAAAGATATTAAAAGAAGTACATCAAATTTCTTGTAATCGGGGAGAGTAGAAATATCACAACTTTTAGGAAAAATAAAATTCAACTGGTTAGACAAAATAAGAGTCACGAGCTTAGGTAATGATTCGTTACATTTAACATAACAATAAGAGATAACATAAACGAAGAAGTTTTTAGCAAAAAAAACATAAACGAAGAACATCCGCATTAGAGATTTAGCATAAGCAATAGATAGACAATAAAGAAATGAATAAGAAGATATATCATTAAATTATAAGAAAAAGATAATAAAATATTTCATGAACTTTGACGCAAAACCATCTTGTTAGAGAAAAATCGGTTACTCATACTAAAGTTCAATAGAACAAAACAGAAAAAGATAATACAAAAATCCGAGCGAAGTACGAAGCACAAGTAACGATAAACGATACGAATCATACGATATTATAATCAGAAACAAAAAAAAAATCATAAAAATAACTATAGAAAAACTAAGGATTCAGTTTCGCTGCACGAAT